GCCTGCCATCCCAAACACATTACAGCAGCCTGCTGCTTTAGATATTAACACCAAAAGCCACATTAGTTTAATCTTATCAGACAGGGATGTTCTGCTGACCCCTCAAAAGAAGAGCTTTTGACCTTCTGTATACCCCCTACTGTTAATCGCTGCCAAGAATACCAGCCCCATAAAGACCCCCAACTCATTAAAGTCTTTTCATTTTCAAACCAGCATTCAGTTCCCAGCAGTGAGCTGAACGCAGCTAAATGAACCTTGAAGTGGCATTTCAACTGTTCCTGTTAGTGACCATGGTAGACAGTTTTGTCCTCCCTGTGATGTGGGAGGCAGCTGGAGGGCAGGGTGTGATGGTATCGGAGACAGGTATCTGTGCCTTCACCAGACTCCAGACTGCATGCTTCACTGATAAAAAGGCTAATCAAATGTCTCCAAAACTCACATAAGAAGTAGGAATGGGGAGATGTGTGAAAAGTTGCCAGAAGGAATAAAATAACCTATTTAGTAGCTCTGCACACTTTTTGTACACTTCCCATCCTACTATCATTCAGTATGTTTACTGCATCCTGCCACAGTGCTTCTCATTTGCCACTTCTAGGACATTTCAGTAGTATCAAGCAAGAAAACACGTAATTCAGTTTACTCTTTAAAAAAAAAAAGAAGAAAAGATACTGGGCCACATACGCAACCAGATAAAAATCCAAGACATTTAAAGAACTCTAGATATAGTTCTTTTTTTCTTCAAGTAACTGTGCACTGAGATCCACATGTTTTCTCCAGAATAAAGCCAGATCATGTGAATTCTTTAAAGGTTTAATCCTGTACTGTATTCATTTCTATGGGCAATCCAAGAAAAAAATATCACGAAACAGAATTGCTAAGTTGAACTAAAGAACTGGTACTTACATTATCCTTATATAAATACCAGCATTTCTATGATTCAGCAGAGTAAGCATTTCTATGATTCGGCAGAGTAAGCATTTCATATTTTGACACTTCACTAAAATATCAAATGAATATTCGATTCCCAGGAAGTTGACAACATTATTAATCCCATCTCACTTGATAGTCAGTATTTTGAATTCCCTAAACATATATGCCAATACACTTTTTTTAAAGTTACAACTTCATTTAATTGGAAAGGTTTACTAAAACCAGTAATCAAATACTGGCCTATGTGTGTTACTCTCACACTTTCTTTAGGCAGAAGCATGGTTGCAGAATTTCCCCAACAGAAAAATTGTGCTTTTGTTCTCCCCCCCTCCCCAGTAAACACGGATACAGAGAGAGCATACGTGAACTTGGACTGTTTAGACACTATAAAGTTTTGTACTACTGACCCTGAGTGAGAAAGGGCAGCACAAGCCTTCAGAGGAGCTTGAAACAAAAGAACAGAACAATCTTGTGCACACACGCGTGCTTGTGTCTCACCATTAAAACAAACCTTATGAGCTTTCTGCTGTTGTCTCTAAGAAAGGGAGACAACACAGGAAGATGATAATCTTCACTATGAACCCCCCCCCGAGGTCTTGGAATTGGTCAGCTCTAATATTTTACAATCAGTAACAGATTGTATACAAGAATTTAAATATAGTCTAGAACACAGTAATTCTTCAAGGAAGTTCAGCATATATTAATTTTGTGTTTGTTATGAGCACATTTTCAAGCAGACGGGAATAATAAAACTGACACAATGAGCAAGTTCTGCCCTCTGTTTGGTATGCCTCAAGGGAAGTTGAAAATATCCTCAACGAATGCATAGTTGAAAAATTCATGTCTTCTTGCTCCCTTAAGATAAATTCCATCCCAAACCCTGAATTCCAACTAAATACTCCAGAATCACATCTGGTCCAGTAGCATTCCCCTGCCCTGAAGAAGCAAAAAAGAAAAGCAAAACCAAAATCACCCTCAGCTCTAAGAAGGATGCAGGACATGTCCAGGAAGGACCATGCAATCTCTTCTCTCTACAATCCTTGTACTATCGTGCTAAGACCAAATCAAGTTAAGTTCCTAGCACAGACACAGGAGAGGGAAAGAAAAAAAAAAAAAAAATTATTCAGAGTTGGCAGGGCATAAAAGATGACTAAGTTATCCAAGAGCTCTTTCTTCATTAGACAGGATGAGATTTTAAATGTTGTGTCTAACAGACATGTAGAATTCAAGGAGAATTCTTTCTATTCAGAAAGAATCATTACATTTCATCTAGCATCCACTTAGTCAGCTAAGTAACTTCCATTTGGCTAACGTACCTTTCTGAAAGGTATCTAGTCTTGCAGTGAAAACATCAAGAAATTGAGCATCTATGATGCTAAAAATGTGACTAACTTCATATTCAATTTTTACTTGATTCAGTAGGTATCTTACAAGGAATAGAATCAGATACAGGGAAGAAATGTTTTCTGATCCATTCCTCCAGCCCCCCCCCCCCCCCCCCCCCCGCCCCCGATAGGCTGAGCCATTTATAAATCTTTCATATAGGACATTACAATACCAGTGTCATTTTAGGTACTTGCTCCACTTCTTCTGTATGCTTTTAAATATTTGTACAAAGAATGAGTCATTCTGCATTTATTTTAGTGGAAGATAAATGTAAAATGCTGTGTCAGATAAAAATAGATTAAGCTTCATCATTAGTAAGCACGTATGAATATATAGCAAGTAAATTCTCTACTAAAGTGGAAGTCAGAGAAAGTTCTAGGCACTCTGTTAAGCACTAGACTTTAACATACTGAATTTTAATTCCGTTATTATATATCCTTGAATAAATTGTTATGGTTTGGTTCTACAAACAAAGTCTGTACAGTGTGAATCAAGAAACATACCCGTACAATGAGAATCCATTTGATCAGGGACAGACCAAATCCACAGATTGCACCATACCTTCCAGCTATGGTATTTGTTATACAGAAGGATAAACAAAATCCAATCCAGTTGAAAATAAATGCCACTATAAAATAAAAGAAACAGTAGCTTCTGTTAATCTGTATAGCTAAGCAAACAGACTTAACACTAATTTCACTTTTAAACTAATAAGGACATGCTTACACAGTCAGTAATTCCCTTCCGGTAATTCAGGCTTTCAGAGATTGACTTTGAACCCAGACATTCCCCATGGTATAGTCACTTAATAACAAAGCAAATGGTAAACAGGCTGGAACCTACTACTTTAAACAAGAGAAAATTCCAACATAAAAGAAAGTATTACATTGCTACAGAATCTAACCAGATGACACTAGATGTGAAGGGTAAATGCAAACAAAGGACTATAACATACAAGACTTGCATTAAAACAAAGAAAAAAACCTTACTACACTTTTATAACCAAAAATATAGTTATATGCACACATACGTGCATGTATCAAGGCTGCATATTCAGCTTTATCCAGTTTGGATCGAACAGAATAAAAGTATCCGCTCTTGCTCTGTAAACATAGTATAGAAATGAAGATAAGTTGAGAAGCTGATGTTTCATTGGTTACTGTCTTCTCTTTTAGATCTATATTCAAGCATAAGATATAAGAAGCCTTGGAAGTTTTACATAGAAGCTTAAGAAATCAAGAAACAAAAAGGACATTGAGCATAACTACTGCTGTTACTTCAATTAACACTTTTACATAACTCCCAGTAGTTTTTAAAGTTTCATATCTGCATATGTACTTGGCAAATCAACATCATCACCTGTATTGAATTCAGTTTGCGTGCATTAGGTCAAAGTGTGGGAATTCCCAATTAGGTGATGTCCCACCTTTGGGAGTAAGTGAGGGCAACTAATGAGAAAACCATCAAACAGAATAGCTGGGGGAGCTGGTGGAAGAAGGCAATTCAGGAGTTCTGGAGAGGACAAGACAGTGGAAAATTGAAAACAGTTGGGAAGCCCACAATAAACACAAAAACCACTGAAGAGGCAAGCAGGAATGGAAGGGGGGCAGAGGGGAACAAAACCCCTGCACACAAGTCCTTAATGTTTTAAATCCCCAAACTTAGGGGAAAAAAACAAAACCCACAAAATTCAGACATTAAATCACCACAGAAAAAAAAAAGTCTGTCTTTTCAGTAAAAGTTTGAACACTTATAGCAAAACATTAGGAACAGAAAATTGTTCAATAGCTTTCTTAAATAAAAGTCAGTTTGGGAGGATTATCTATAAACAACCACTTTTTTTGTAATTTAAAACCTTGTTACAACTCCTCCAACAATCCACATGAAGATGCAATGATTTGTCCACAAATGCAAAATTAATCTGTAAAACTGCAGTGGGATTCCATGAACTGTAAAGAAATTGAAGTTCCAAGAGAAGTTTTGGAAGACTTCACATCCACACAGTCATTTTGTACAAGTGAGAAAACATCTTGCCTCGGACAGAGCCAGAGGTAACAGATGGTGGCAATGAGAAAGCTTACTTCTATGCTAATTACAAATCTTAAAAAAAAAAAAAAAAAAAAAAAAAAAATCAAAACAAACCACCAAAAAACCCACAACACAAAAAAACCCCCAAAACCAAAAACACAACTTCGAATAAAATATTGGTATACGCAGAGAAGAAAAAAAGAGAGCATTTCTATTACATAAGAACAACATTGTGACCCTAACGTTTACCTATCTTTACAAAACACAAGTGTTTACATTTGAGAAAGCTTGGATACATTGTTTTGAAAACAGCATTTCCCTATTTCAAGCAAGCTCTCCAAATCCACCATACTTTTAAAAGCAACAGATTTCAGAAGCTAGTTCTGCAAGGCGCCTCTGTTCCTGTCGCAGCATAACAGCTTACTGCTCTCTCCCTTTCTCCCCACTACTCAAGCTACAAAGGGTGACTTCGACTGTGACTCCAAAGATAGGCATGCAAAAAAGGACAGAAGATAGACACGTTTCTAATGGACTATGCAGACTAGAGGAATTCCCAGAATACTTACTATTTTAATAGGTATATGTTAAAAAATAAGGATTTTTATAACACCTGAACTAATTTGTACATGCATTAGAAAAGTTAGAGATTTCCCAATCATAAATATAGGAGAGGGAAAAAAATTAGTTCTTATAATCAAAGTTGAATACAGTGACAACTTTACCTTCCTTTCAATTTGACCTAAAGGAATATTAAAAATAGAATCCACAGTCACTGATGAGTCTTAGGTGGGTATTTAACACTAAATTGTTTGCCCAACTCCTGAAAGCAAAGGCATCAGCATGTTCCAATGTTGTTCACAGTAGCCTTTTTTCCTTTAACCAGTGTGCTCTTCCATCAATTTATATAAGCAGACAATGCAAATGGGAAAGAAAAGGCATAAACCATTACAAAAGTTGTAAACTATGCAAGTTCACATACCCCAATAAAAGTAGACTATATACGAAAGAAAAATCTCACCATTTAAGTTTTGATCTGTAACCATCCACTAGAAAAATTCTGCAGCGAGGACCTAATCAAAATTCCCTGTATTCAGCAGTATGAGGAACATATTACTTCCACCTCTGTAAAACCTAGGCAACGTATTAGGGAGATTCTCCCAACATTGCCTTGGTGTTGCATCATCTTAACAAATTTAAGATGGGCAACAATAACATCTACATGTTTTCAATCTTGCCCGTGGCTTCTCCCTCACCTCCCCTGTGTCCTATTACTACTCCAAAAATCATCTTCACTGTCTCATTCCGGTTGCAAAACCCATTCTTTCCTTTCAGAGATGCATCTCCAGCTTCTGAGAGGACTGCAACAAGTTAAGATTTTTATCTATCTTCCGATTGTTTTTCTCCGTATTAAGATTAGCCTCATCTACCTATCTGTATCTTATTCCACGATGATTTCCACGTATATCCTCTGCCAGTCATGCAAGTTGTCTGAGCTTTGCAGCCTACGCTGCATCTGCTTAAGAGTTACTAACGTTATTTTCTGTGTAATTCCTGCCTCACCTAATTATTGCAATAAAAGTTGTCCATAATTTTCATCCCTATATTGCCATAGAGAAGCCACAGCACAAGTTTCTCCACCAAGCTGAGAGAGAAAATACAATGGTGAGGGGACAGACTTAGCAAAAGGAAGCATCTACTATTTTTTTTAGATGTATCTACTTCCTTCTCTATCTACTAAATAGAGGCAACTAAGTCATTGTGTGAGCTTCTTACTGCAACAAATGCAATCCTCCACTATTTGCCTGCATCCACTCACTTGCGAAATGTAAATGACACCGTTCAGCAGTTAAAGAGATGACCTTGTCCTTCATACTGCTTCAGCTTCCCCTGACATTCTGATACAGACAATGCTCCTGGTCTGACACTAGAAATCGCTATCATAAAGAAGAAAGCCATTCCCAAAAATGAGATAGAAAGTCTAACAAGCTGCTACAACCACATCATGGTTTTAATGAAAAAAGCGTTCTTAACTTCTGTTTGCCCATCCTCTTCATGCAGGCAGGTTCTGTGCTCATCTTCTAGACTCCCGCTGCAAGACTAACCACTCTGCAGCAAGAATTGTTTCCTATCCCAGAGATTGCTAGCGTTTGGATTCATACTTACGCCCAACTTTAAACTATTGTCCTCTTTCTTTTAATAGATTTCAGGCATTTAGATGAAACTCACACTGACTGCGCTGGCATCATGATTTCAGTCTCTTTCTTTGCTACTCTAACACCATACAGACAAGTGGGACTGATAAAGTAAGATTTCTGAGTTTTATACATTCCTGAAATGTCAACAAGAGGAGAAAGTAAGTCTATATTAATGTAAGTCACATAAAAAGAATATAACCATTAAGAGTTATTTCCTCATGAAAACAAAACTCGTAATGAAAAACAGGTAAAAAGTTGCTTTTTGGGAGGAGGAAACTTGGACTAAAGGTCTTTTTTAATAAAAAGTCTTCTTGATATCCAATGTAGCGCCCACAACAATTACGTTATACTTGTATTTCTCTTTATGGTTTGCAGTAAGATAATCCCAGCCAAAAGCACAGGGGTGTTCTAAATGTTGTAGACGTCTTAGAATCTGACACGCAAAATAAGGCTATCCATCAGCTATTTCCACACCCAAAGCCCTCTTCTGAGGGGAAGTGGTCAGCATAGGATTTTTCATATCAAAAATTAAAGTTAGAAATCAAAAGTCTTTTCTCTATTGGCAATTCCAAAGAAGCTGGAGTAAAATAATTCAACTTGGTTTTGACAAACAAGCTTCCATTCATTGCCATTCTTCATTCTCCAATAACTACAGGGGCGAGGCAAAGATGATGTATGAAGCTGTACTTTGTCATTAATAATTTATTAATCCATGCTTGCTTTTTGTCAGTGCTCATTAAGCTGCAAAGCAATATTGACACATCCTTTCACTCTACTCCCACAATTTACAGTAAACGAAGAAAACTTAGTTTTTCAAGTTTTTAAGCAATCTTGTGCAAAGGTTTTGAGTTGTACATACTGCAATACATCAGAAGATGCAACCATAATGACAAGCATACTAGAACAAATCTGCTTTTTCCTCAACTGTTCTTGCACTTCACTTGCTGATCTTTTTTAGCTTTCCACAGCCACACATTAATCACTTACGTTTATATTCAGTATCAAGAAAAGAAGCCAGCAAAACTGGTCTATGTCAGTTCCAAATATTAACCATGGCTCAAGCCTGTGATAAGATTATAGTGGCAACTATATACACAAAAAGCAACCATGCTCAGTTACATCCTTTATTCCCCGATTTGTTTGTCCAATGACTTATTATTTTAATATACAGCAAACACCAAAGAGCTTAATGTTTCACACCTGGCTTAGGTTTACTAAGCATACTGCAATAAATAACACTTTCCAGATCTTCATGCACCACTAGAAATTATTCTTCCCCTTCCTGCACAGAATTTATTCCATTCTTGAACCAGGACACATTTTTGCTCCTTCCTGAAGGGCTCACCTGAAGTCTGATGATGATCACTGGAAGCATTTGCTATCAACTTCAACGGACAATTTTTTTTTTTCCTCCTACTCAGTGATGAATGTTCAAAAACTTCCCTAGGCAATTTATTTCTACTGCTTCATTACCCTTGTTGGTAAATTTTTCCTAATGCCCAGCTAGAAGCTTGCTCATTCCATTTATTTTGTATTCTATCCAACATGTATGGAGAAACCATGTAAGTCAAATTCTTTCTAATTAAGAAAGAAGTTAGGTGATTGTGGACGAAGGTCAGCCAGGCTCCCCTGATAACCAGAAATACGCACTCCCAAAACAGTTCCTTTATCTCCTTCCAACATTTGCAATTTCAGTCAAATGACTCCCCCTCAGCTTTGCTGGCATCACTAAGGGAAACCTGCATCACATTCGTGATGTGGACATACAGAAGTCAGGTTTCCTAAATTCACACAGAGGAATCCTCCCACAGGAAATTTAGACCATGCTTACCGCTCCTCGGGCAGCGTACAACAGGAGGCTGTGCTCATCCTGAGCTCATGCTACAACTCTGCCTTCCAACTGGTGCCCACCTGAAAGCCCCTAAGTAGATATCCTAGCTTGTATGCAGTTTATTGACTGCTTGAAGCATCTAATAGCTTCGAAAACTGTATGAAGATTAGTTCACAAAATTTTGGTATGGTTACTTATCTGTTCCAATATAGCATCTGGGACGATATGTACACTTACATTTCTCCACATCATGAGACTTTATTGGTGTGAGTTGTACAGTGTTTAAATTGCCCAGGTGTTGCTCAAAAAGAACAAATCAGATCTCTATATGAGAACTTGAACTTCAGCTGTATGATTGAACACTTTTCTCCATTTCTTCTTCCTTATTAACCCACCTGTGAGGTTCAAATTAATATTCATTTTTCCTAGGTTGTAAGGACAACCCAAAACTCCCCTCAATGGTTTCAAAGAATCTAGATGAGCTCCACAATTCCTTCTGGGGCCCACAGGTGAAAGGGCTGGTTGATATTTCTAAAGCACTCCTTAAATATAAGGGAAAACCATATAAGCCTTTTATTACTGCCCAAAATTACCTCCTTCACATAATGAACCAGGATGAGCAAATCAGACGTGATTTGAAAGAATTCCACTATGGGCAGATTAAGCATGAAAACCAAACCCTTTAGGTCACAACAGTTACTTGCTCTATCACCATTACAGCTGTATTCAAAATGGAAAGAAACAGCTCAGAAATTCCTCCTTTTTGTTGTGCATACAAAAAAAAAAAAAATCGCTCTGAGAAACTCACCAATTAACAACTTCCTCTGGCATTCTGAGAAGTTTCTACTATGCTGCATAAGGTACAGCTGACTTAAAAATCCATAACAGAAAAAAATATATGAAGTGGTCCGATAGCAAAATTTGTTGCATTTCGCATTCACAGCAAAATGGAATATATTCACTAATATATTCATTTACCTCAAAATCAGAAACTGACAAACAACAGCCCTGACCATTAGAGAGCAGATTCCTTGCTCACCAACATAATCGCAGATTTCAAGAGCAACACCAATTTCTCAAAATATATGATTTTACCACATATTAGAAATAAAATAGGTTGTTTTCCAAATTTTTCCAGTAAGTTTCTGAATCAAGTGCTAAAGCAAAAAACCCACCTGTTCATGCAAAGGACTTTTATTCTTTAGAGTATATCGTCTCATTCTATTTAGTTATGCTAACCAGAACAGTACTTTACAACTTAGGTGGGAAACAGGTTTGTAACTTGCATGCACCAAGCTCCTGAAACAAACAAAAAACCCAAACAAAACAGATCTGGCCACTAGATGGCCTCAAGACAGCAATTTTATGCAACTTGGGCAGCTACCACTAGATGGTAGCTACATATCACTAGTCGATTGCAATATGCAGGTAAGCTTAGTAAAAAGTTCATTTTATTATACTTCAGTTGAATAAAATTAAATTAAAAAAGCTAACTTCACTGTTTTATATTTAAAACAAAGGCAGCCTGTTCCCCACCCCCCCCCCCCATCCCCCCCCCCCCCCCCCAAGATCCTTCTGCTGACACTGTACATAACAGTCACAGGAGGAGGTGGGAGAGCACATCTGGAACAAGCCATTCGTTCCATGCTCCTCTCACTAGAGCACAGTTCCTGACACTGTTCTGCATTTTAACTAAGTGAGGGAACTTATTCTAAGCTGTCTGTGATCTGCCAACCTCTACTTGAAGTGTTTAAACACATCCCACCCTGAAAAAAACCAGAAGATAGCCATACTGTAAACTTCATTTTAATTTCTGCTCTCTTAAATCTACATACATCAACTTTATGGAGACTTATCTCCTTATTAGAGGGACAGGAATGCACCACCCACTATTTACGATCTACCCTTATTAAGTTAAGCTCCTTTTTCATTTAGTTCTCCAATTTCCCTAAGAAAAACTACTGAAAATTGATATTACAGGTCTATAAATGCTATGAATTTTTGTGAACTCCTCATACTATGCACACAAACAAGTAAACTTTATCAATTTCCATATGTAACCGGTATCCATAACAGCCAACACAGATCCCAATTAAGCACACACTTGCATAAATATCTTGCAATGTGTAAGCCCTCATTTATGCATTTCATTCATAAGCGAGCAAAGTTGGCAGTAACACAGTCTCAGAATAATCAAGAAAAATTATGATCTACAGAGTATTTTTGTTAAATGTGTAAAAGTAGTGCTCTGTGCAGTCAGTCTCAGCTAAACAGCTATTTGAAGAGAAAGTTGCCAGTTTATCCAAGTAAACGTCTGCATTCTGGAAGGTGCACACAAGGTTCTGGGCATGCAGTTTTGGCCAACTGCATGTGAATATCATTGGAGCCCTTCTGGAGCCTTTGATTCCAGTTCAGCTTCTGCATAGCAGGATTTTCACTATTACTGTGCTCCTAGCTGCAAGCTAACAAGTCTGTTCTCAGCTGTGATTTTAAGGACTTAAAACATATTAGAGCCAAAAATCCACTTGACCTCCAAGTGCAGTGCTAATGAAGGCCTGAACCAGGATTTAAAAGCAAGAGCAAGTTCACACACTACAGAACCTACATAGGTGAAATACAAAAAGTTGTAACACATAGGGAAGGGGGAAAAAACAGAAAGAGAAAAATTAAGCCATACCCCCCCTTTTCCCCCAAGAATATATACCCTTTCTATGGTCCAACTACAGAAAGAGGTCAGACTACAAAACTCACTTTGTTACCCTATATATGTATTTATGTATTTACTATGTGAGGTAGACATATATTTTTATCCCAAGATGCAAACACCACATTGTCCTAGTACTTCGTATGCCAACATGGAAAAAACTTTTGTGAAAGTTCTGTAACCTGCATCTGTTAAATAAAGAGACTGTGAAAGACATTAAAGAAAAAAGAACTAAGATTAGATCTAGCTTGAAAGACATAAAGGAGATTTCAGTGGATAATTAATCAGCTTTCATCCTGATGAATGCTAAAAAGGACAGCTACGTCCCCAACACCAAGCTTCCATCCAGGCTGCCAAACACCTTTGCTTCAGAAAGGGAAAATATCCTCAGAAATTAGAAAGAACTATGCAATTGGCAAAACAGAAGCAGCTTCTTTCTAGAAGTAACTTATAGTGGCTAAATCTAACTTTGCTCAATGCAGTACGTAAGTTACAAGATAAGGCATGCACAGTGCGCACACACAGTACCTGAAGAAGTGCCATAGTAGTGCTGGTTGCAATCAGACGTTACCTGAAGACAGTACATTTTTATATGCTAGTGATTAGTTCAAAATAAGCGTTGTTGGATTTGTTCGAAAAATCCACCCACAGCTATTTAAATTCACTACGCTAACATCAGCAACTTTTATATAGCACATCATCACTCTCTCAAATTTCTTCTACTTAAAAATCGATTGCCAGATTTCTGTGATCCACATTTTTACATGCTAGTGATTAGTTCAACCTGAAAATAAGCGTTGTTGGATTTGTTCGAAAAATCCACCCACAGCTATTTAATTCACTACGCTAACATCAGCAACTTTTATATAGCACATCATCACTCTCTCAAATTTCTTCTACTTAAAAATCGATTGCCAGATTTCTGTGATCCAGCCTTTAATTCAAGTTGGTAGTCCAACTAGAAGATGACAGAATTTCCCAATTCGTAGTTAACAGTGCAGCCTTGCTATGCCTCGGAACATTTACTACGATTTTGCTTTGTCCCCTTATTTGTGACAGATGCCACAGAAAAAAAGTGCAACATATTTGCTACATCTGGAACAGGAAGTGTTTATATCTGTGTACAGGTAAAAAAAATCCATTCATTACAGTACATTAATGCAGTTTTTCCACAGCTATCTTTTATATTCCATAGAAATAAGGTACAATTAAGATATACCTCAGTAGGTCTGGGATACAAGATAACTTACTGAAAAATGCCAACATGAAGATGCCATCATTGCCCACTCTAAGCTGATCTGCATCACTGAAATCATCCCGTGGTGGATACTCTTCTTCCTGGATTTACAGGTTAGTGATAATTTAGTGAAAAGTTTATTTTAGAATAACTATCTGTAGGATTAAAGTATTAATTATGTTTCCAAATCTAGAAGAAAATTGACATTTCTGTAACACGTCCACATCAAGGAAGTTTAAAAGAAAGATAATTCGTATCTATAAAACAACTCTTATTTGTTGCTTATATTGACAGAGCCCAAATTTCACTGAAAAGTTTCTGTAGAAGATATGTACATACTGCCTAGTCATCTTAAATGAAGCTAGAAATTATTTCAGATGAGTACTTTGACAATCAAAACCAACAGAAATCTTCTTTTACTGTAACTATCTTGATATGCATCCAAGCTATTAAATATTTTTTTTTAAAATCACTACATAGTATGTTCTATATTTTTCCTGCCAGAAAAGTCTTTTAATGCTTCCCAAAATGTAGAATAAGGTTAGTATCTTAAAATAAATTGCTGATGCGACAGCATTGCAGTAACGAATTTGACTATGCTATAACCCACAGAAAAACATACACAAAACAAAGAAAACCTCTAGGGACACTAGAGGGCGCGAGCACATTAGAAGTGTTTAAAACTCAAGAAGCGCAGTACTTTAAGTCAAACAAAACTAAACAGAGATGTCAGTCAAAACAATCCAAAGGTTCCTCTCATCGTGTCAGAATATTAGATCTTAAAATACTGAAAGTATGAGTTTGTTTTGTTTCTCAGTACTTGATTTTCAACAGAACTTGGCAGATCTTACGTATGCAGTTCTGTGCACAAGTAAAACATTACTGCGACTCTAGACTGGCAAACGTTAAAGTTTTCATGATGTCAGCAGTTAAAGAGAGCCTGATGAAGACTGTAAAACCAGTTAAACACACCATTTTAATACTTAAATGAGTAACGTCAAAACAATGCAGGATGATACAAGTTAAATAATGCTGTCAGTAGCAGCAGTAATATGGGCTAGACATAAGCATGAATAACATTCTTTTCCTGGTTTTTCTCCAATTAATCATAATGTATTAGAATTGAGATAAGAAGTGACCTATTAAAAAAATGAAATCAAGGGAGATCAGTTCAAGTGAGATTTACTTAGCTGTTTCACCCACAGCAAACACTTACTACTAAAATAATGTAACTAACACATTATTCAGTTGCTGTACCAAATGTTATTTTGTATATTAAGTTCATAACTAAAAGGGCATTAAACAATCACAGTGATCTAAAGCTCTGTGTGATTGACATGTCCACCTTTGTCAACACAGCAAAATAATTTACCAGGGTATAGCGATTATGGTTAAAAATGTGCTAGAATGAACTGTACCAACTCAAGGCAGCCAGCTTTACTCTTCATAACATGGCCGTGAAATTCCAGCTGTGCTCTTTATTTCAGATTAATTAACCAAGACTCTGTATCAGATAACTTACTTTAAAAACACTGCTATTCACATAGACAATTCCACAGAAAGCACAAAAAGCTAGTTGAACAACAATCTTAAGGGGCTATAATTCAATTCTATATAATTTCAGATGTCCCTAAATGGTCATCTTAGTGACTGTGAAAGCATTAGTTTATTTAGCTCAACTTTGCTGCAGCCACAAGACTGATGGGGGGGAAGGGCAGGGAAGGGAAGGAAGGGCTGAAAATGCATTAAACAAAGAGCTGCATTTGAATCTGGTTATCTCTGAAATGTATGCCGCAAAAGTTCCTTTTTCAAGTCAGGACAACAAAAAATACTTTCAATTTTCATTTCAGAAGGTCTAGAAAACCCCATACAAAATAATTCTTGGACTTTTTTTTAGACTGTCTGCTAACTACTGTACTTCATACTGGCATTTCCAAACCAGTTAGTGAATCACGCTCTATGTCAAATGTTGCTTCAGAAAAAGAAAATTTTGTTCAGCTACAGTAACAAGTTAGCAGGTTTCTCTATATGCACAGGCTTCTCCAAGATTTACACGTGTGAGAAACACAGGTCAATATACAACCCAGGGACATGAAAGCAGACAGTTGCAAGCAGGCACTGTTGTAGTAAGTGTGAACAAATTGTAATTTATCACACTCAATGTCAAAAGGGAATTATATTAAACTGAGTTCTATTTACTGTCTCCAAAAATTTGCATATGAAAATTATCAGAACGTTTAAGAAATTAAACAGTTTCCTGAGCTTAAATCATGTCCAGCCTGTATCTACATCATTTAATATTATGTGGTTTTATGATCAGTCCTGCAGATAGAAGACACTAATTAGCCACTGCTCAAGCCCCGCTAATATTGGCTGTCTGTCACAGTGCTCTCATTTGATCTAGTTGGTGTCAACTGCCCCAGCCTTTCTTCAAAATATAAATTGTTTGCCACCATTCATTGAGGAATGAAAAGGGACAATGCAGAATGGCTGTCTTCTCTGCTGATGCTTAGAACTAAACGTAATTTCACAGTAATACTTCTATTAGATATTGACATTTTTATCAATGAGAATAATTACATATTTTATTTATATGTATTTTTTCTTTTTTAATGAGAAGAATGTCATATAACAACACACAAAAATCCGTAAAATATGTAATACTGTTTCAGTATCTCATATTGATTTTTGACAAATTTAGCCATATTAAGAAGCACAGACAATATTTCTTGTTTGCTAAATATGCTGAGATCTGTATAAACAGAAAACTTACTGTTCCTATGATCAGAGAAACATCTAAACAGCAAAATATATTATCAACATAAATGGCATGTCACACAGTAATTTCTCTAAGCAAAAGAATATCAAATGGCACACAGCATCTACTGAAGTCAAACCTATTAAGTCCTCTGAAACTACAGTGCTCTCTGTAGTATTCTGCAAAAAGAGGACTGTTTTTTCGCCCCAATGCCTTTTACCTTCTATCAAATTGAAACCTAGCATGGAGTAGAGCGAGACAACCACCTTTAATCAAGTAAAGAACCCAAGTTTTCAGGAACCCCTTGGATAACTAAACTGATGTAACTCTTCTCAATGCAGTGGATTTACAGAGAAAAACTTCTGAGGACAGGGTCAAATTACTTAATAAACCCCATAAATGATACCTTCAGCATACAAAACAATATGGAGAAGTTAATGGTGGGGGGAAAAAAGGCACAACGAATCCCAGAAGCATTTGTTTGCCAGCAGGAAAATTCAAAGTTAAAGTCTAAACTAGAGAGAACTATACCATACCTCTGGACGACTGAGGAATATTTCATCAAACAGACTCCTAGACTCCCTAAACTGGGCGTGCTAAGCATGTAAAAACAGAAAAACATAAGACAAATGCAACTGAAAAGCATTAAGTAAAAGCCATTCATTGCAACATACAAACAAGTCATTTAACTGTTAGCAATATTTTCGTCCATTTAAATTGACCTTTCAAAACTGACCTTGAAAATTTGAAAAGGAAAACATCAAAAGCCAGGGTAACTAATGCCATCACTACCGATGACATAGGGCTGCTACAATTTCTTTGATACATTGAGCTATCTGGGAGCATTTGAAAGAAATAAGTGTTTATACACAATCTATTCTTGTAAGACAAGCTACACAAAGAACTACAAAAACAAGTACTGAAATTTTCAGTAAATGTTAAGTTTAGATTGTTCGTACAATCTGTGGATGCAGGGCCTATGATGAAGTCTTTAGTATGATCACACTAATGTTTTTTGTAAGATCCCTACACAATTCAGGGGAAAAAAATATGAAAGCTGTTTATTAAGTGTGCTGCCTTTTTATACCGTTTTCCTCTCTTTTGCTCAATGAGTAAGTTTGTACCTTCCTTTACTGCACACTTTTAAGTATACCATGAAATAATTATCAGGTTCATGTTAAATGTCCTTATGTTACCTTGAATGAACCTTTTTCCAACTGTTCACATTATTGTAGTGAATAGGCAATATATCCTCGTTTTATGAGGAAGCAACTAGAGGCACAGATCAGAGTTCACATTCATAAGAGCACTAATTTCGTAAGGCTGAAAATAAAAACTGAAAAAAAATACGTTATACGGTCTGTGTATGTTTTGCAAAGTGTGTAATATGCAAGTCAGATACCATCTGCAGCCGTCACTGCTTGTGATCTCCCAGACAGTGAAAGTGAGAAAACAATTAAATACATATCAGTAGTGCAAAGTTTAAGTCACTTATCTGTTCTTCCATGGGTATTCAGAGCTAAGGATCAATATCCTTCCCTTCAAGATGGCAAACCACCACTCTAACCATAACATGACCTTTTTTCTTATTCCAGGCATCTGCCAGATTAAGACAGTCTTATTACAGAGTCTTATTCCACCCCAGCATAACTCCATCAGAGGTATTAAATAAGGCAGGGATTTTGTGGCAGTGTCACGTGGTAATTAAAATGGCATTAATTAAAAATGTGACGGCACATAATTTTTAATATCATCTACAAAACTGGAACTCAACTTCAGCATTTCCTACTTTTTCCCCAAATCTCAACTTTGCAACCTTTCATACTGTTTCTTTAATATAGCTGCATGTGTACGTGCGTGTGCTTTAAAAAAAGAAAATAAAAAACACAGAAGCAAACTGAGCAGAAATTCTATCAAACTTGAGATCTTCAGCAGTCAGCAGGACTGTGGCTTTTAGGTACACTGAATAGACTTCTGATACTAACTTAGCACTGCCGTAAGTCTACAACTTTTCAGCCAATCTCTGCTTTGGGGGAATGATGGTGTGTTCCTACAGATTCTTCATAAGTAAGTCAAATTCTTGTGGTGTCAGCACCTAGTTCTTGAACATCAACTTCTACTATACATTTTGGAAAAACAGACTATGTAAAAGTTTATTTCTCACTTTGTCACCATATCCTACTCTCCTACCTCTTAACTCCAGATCCCTTCTCCTTCCCTACTCCTCGTTTCACACACCAGCTTCAGCTCCTTTCCCAGTACCACATTTTGTCCCCACTTGGGTTCCTTTCTCCACCAATCCCAGTTTATCCTTCTCCCTCCTGTTTCTCATCTAAATCTCTCTGTACTCCCTCCATACCACTGCTCTCCGTTCACCCCTGCCTTTTCTTATTTGGACTTGGACCCATCCTCTCTGATCCCTGCCTGTGTTCACTTTGAGCTAGTTACCTCCTTGCCCAACCAAAACCAGACTTCTCTTCCCACAACACATAAGCTTCAGAAGCTCAGAGCCATTGTCCTTCTTCGCTCCACCTAACATTGATACCCTTGCAGTTGAATCAAGTGGCTTTCCCCTTCCCTTCTAACTGAAGGCCAACGATAATAGAACTACTTCAGGGCACACCAGAAATTCCTGTTTCTCACTTCCAGTGTTTTCACCAAAAGCAGTCAAGAGCAGTCATAAAGTATATCTACTTTTAGTCCCGTAATCCTACTCTGATACAGAACATTTGAGAATGTTCTCTGGGGACAGCACGTCTGCAGTCCCATCCCCTTCAGAGCTATGAGCAGTCTAAACTTGTTCATGTAAGACAATCTCCACATGTTTACTAAATTTGAAGCTGTATGTATCAACTGTGGAAACTAATTTTTCAAAAACTTGTAATTTGGCCAAAACCAGGCAGATTTTCTGAGGAAGGGCAAAAGATGTTTCTAACAGTGACCTGAACTTGTGAGAAAGGGTTCTCCAAAGTAAAAAAAAAAAGGCTTAAAATGACAAGACAAAAACCAGTGATTTTTGGGGGTTTTTTTTGCTTAGCTTTATTCTTGAAATTGGCTGAACCCCAGCCTGAGGTTTTCCCTGTAGAATTCAGGTCAAGGAAGATTGCTTGTATGTCTGAAACTTTCACCTCAGAGTTCTAGACATACAAAGTTAAAAGCAACAAGGATCTTGCAAGAGAGTTGCACACGTCCTGTGTGAAGCATCACAGGACTGGTAATGGTACTCTAAAAGTTGAAGGTTTGGGTTGCTAGTGTTCCAAGTAAGTTTAAAGGTTTATAATTTCAGATTGAGGGTTTCATTCAGACCACTATTTCAGCAAAAGTTTTACTTGCATGACAAGCAGTAAGGACAGACTACATAGAAACCAACCTCCTGCTAAAGCAGTTAAAAGGTTACAACTGGAGATCATCACCTCATAGCAGAAACTTGGCAAATAACCATTCCAGTGTCCCTGGTTCCCTACTGCATTTAGTAAAACAGATTTGTGTAACACGTTCACTGGCGATGTTACACAAATCCACTTGAACTTTATCTGTGCATACCTTAAAGTGAGTGTTGTGCACTGTGATTACTGCACAGCAATCAAGGAAGGAACAGCCTCCCACTGGGTGAGCAGAATTTTTTTTCCAGTCACAAGCACACTGCAGTCAGTAAGATTTTAAATGCATCCCAAATGCAACCATATTTGATCTGAAGGTGGAGATTTTTAGTGAAAGCACTGAAAGCCTAATTTGGGTATAGTATATTATGGCCAATACTACCATACAGCAGAATTTCCACATTCCAAAACTTGGGAGAAAAAAAAAAAAGGAAGAACTTTGCTTACAAAACTAACATTTAACACTAATTGCAGGTATCAGTTCTCTATTTTGAAGACTGTATTCTTTGTAATGTTAATTCTTACAAAACTATAAACACTGAGTATATACCTATTACTTAATTTATGGTTTATCATAACTTGTGGTGTGGGGTTTTTTGTTTGTTTGAGAGCACTTGGAACATTTCTTTGAACTTCAGTGTTAAAGTTTTCATGGAGCAAACAACAGGGACCTTTCTTTTTAAAATAGACATACATTATTTGGGGTTTTGTCCCTTCCAGACTGTTGGAATTCTCCTTCCTCTCTAAAGGTCTACTTTGTTCATTAATTTTTTTTTTTAACCATCTGAAACGCTAAATATCAGCAATAACTCTACAAAGTAACATTAGTAGCAGATACCTAATTAAAAGATGACAAAACATTGGATAAACTATTAAAACAGGGCAAAATTTGACTTTTAAAGCTGTTTAGACAGCAGTTATGCCTCAGAAAAGAGTGAATATGATATGCTTTTCATAGTACTTTACAACTAACTTACACTATCTATACAAAACCTAAGCATCCAAAATATTTAAATCACCAACCCACCATTTTTTTACTAAATAGGCCATAATATGGGCCCAATTGTTATACATAATTAATTAGATTAGCCTAACATGTTGCACAAAATTGAAATAAAGCAGAACTATAACACTTACTCGTTGGGCAACTTCTGCTGCAGCAGCTGCCATTGCTGCAGCTTTGGCCTTCTCTGCTTCATCGTAAGTAGGAAGAGAGGTAGCTACACTGTATGGAGGTGGTACAGGATAAAATTCATTGTGTGTTTCTGTTCAAAATAAAGAGGTTAGGCATTTTTAAGCCAGAAAGATGTCAAGAATATTAAATTTTACATGCACAAAACTATTGAGCTTTAAAGTATATTTTTTTCAAGAGGCTGAAATTGATATTTGTATTTCAAGTTCTTATAAGTTTTAAAAAACTTTATAAAATAAAATAGTGAACCGCTTGATGGTGCTTTTTAGTTGCTACTCAAGGCAGAAACCTTAACCTACATGCTGCAAGGAGCAAACAAATTTATGAACAAAAAAAATCATATTTGCTGAGTTACATCCCTAGGCATTCCAACCAAAGGCTTTTTATCAAATCATACAAGAGACATGCAGAGAAACATCCCCCAAAAAAGCTTTTAATTATCAACAGGACGCATGATACGGAGCATTCCCTATCCTCTCTCCGCCTGGCTGAACACAGTGACTTAAGGGAAAGGGGACAATGACAACAAGTTCCTGCCCGGCGCAGCAGGCACGTCTCCTCCGTGACTACCCCACCTTCCCAGGTGCCCTTGCA